ACTTATTGTAGCTTTTGTGCATATAAAAAAAAAACCTTTGATTCTCAAAAAAGGATGTTGAAAAAACTCCTTGACTGACTCTGTTTATAGTTGTCGTTCTTAGACAGTAGGGCACTTCACTATCCAACAACATTAAATACAATCATCTCTAGAGCACTGGTTCCCAACCTGGGGGGGCGCCAAAGACCACAGGGGGGGTGCCGTCCTGTATTTTCTTCGTACGGGAATCCAAATGAATTAATCCTGAGTCCAATAACCATCAAAGTCACAGTTATAGCATTATTATAGCGTTATAGCATTTGTGTGTGTGTGTGGGTGGGGGGGGGGGGGGCGCGACTTCCAACAGGAGTCATTTGGGGGGGCTCTTGGGAAAAAAGGTTGGGAACGCCTGCTCTAGAGCTGTAATGGTTAGTCAACAACTTGGTTAGTTGATAGCAAAAAGTAAACTTTCTCCGTGAGATTATATGTTTGGGTTTTGGAATAACGAAGCAAGACATTTAAAGACATCACCGTGGACTTTGAGTAAACGGGATGGACATTTTTTACTTTTTTCTGTCATTTTGATAACTGAAATCGGTTCATGTAGAAGATATCCAGCAGGTAAATAAATAATGAAAATAATGGTTGATTGCAGACTTAATTCACATGCTTCTCAAAATGTAAACTCTGACGGTATGTATGAGAGAACTCGTAGCCCAGCTGCTGTTATTGATCTGAACCTCTTAAAGTGTTGATAAACCCTCCCGTAGTTTGTCCCCAGTTTTGAAAGACGTTACCTCAAAGGTGTGATGAAAGGCTCCGTAGTCGATGTCGAAGAAGCCCTCTGCCAGCAGCATCATGGGGCTGAACCTGTGACCCCACATCACCTCGTCCGCTAGGTAGGAGCTCCTCGCCTGGCACGTCATGCCTGCACAGAGACCAGCATACTGATGAGTACACACATTCACTAATGCTTATGACTAGAGATGTCCCGATCCGATCACGTGATTTTCAAAAGATCGGAATCGGGAGAAAAAAAATCGGGGATCGGGATTTTCTTTTTTTTTTTTTTTTAAATACTTTTTTTTTTTTTATTCAATGTTACAAAACAAAAATGACCATGTTCAAGTCTTAAAGTCAACCTGAGGCCTTAGTTTTGGTTTCAAATTACACAACATCATGTATGTGTTGCTTCTTTGGGGCTTGTTCTCATAGACCTGGTTGCTTATTTCTCTCAAATCTGGCAACAGAGTGGGCAGGGCGCAGTGTCTAATTGTAGCAGTAAGCTAACGAGTACTGATGGCTTTATTTTGTTTTGATCCAATGCTGCACAACTGAACTGATCCAATGCTGCTGTGAAAGAAAGAAGCTATATCCATGTTGGATAGAATATCCAATTTAAATAAAAAAATAACCTTAAGGGACAACTTGAATGCTTTTTTTTCTCTTAATGCATTGCATAAAGATCGGATCAGGAAAAATCGGTATCGGCAAATTGTCAAAATCAAATGATCGGAATCGGATCGGGAGCAAAAAGAGGTGATCGGGACATCCCTACTTATGACTCATTCAGACCCTTGTGTTGCATACGATGAAGGAACTCAGAGCAGAAAGTCAAAGTCAAACACACCAAGAGGCAATTCATTTAATCTCAATATGAATATTCTATAGTCTCTTCTTTGTTACTCTGCGCCGCACTCTGACTCAGATAATCAATATTTGGAGTAGGCAGAGACTCTACCTTTACCTCGTGGAAGACGCATTATGAATAGCTTTGGCTGTTCCTGCCAAAAAGTGAGGAACAGTTAGGTCCCAGAATGAATTGGACATAAGACAATATGAGAAGGGGAAACTATAACAAGAGATAAACACAGGCCATCTAAGTCTTCCATTGTAACTTCCTGATTTGTTTCTGACAGACCCTGTTTATAGTTCACTATCCAACAACATTAAATACAATCATAAATATAACAGAGGCGTTAAACTCTAGAGCTGCAATGATTAGCCAACAACTTGTTTAGCTGATAGAGAAAGTAACATCTATTTATTATTGAGATTCATAAATAAAAGAAAGAACATTTTCATGCCAGAAAATGCTGCTCTTAAATATTGACTTTTCTTGCTGTCCCTGTATTTTTATCTAAACGTTTTGACTGTCAAAGCAAGGGTCTTAGATTAACGGGATGGACCTTGTTTACTGTGTTCAGTAATTTGTAAAATTGGTGGAAGATAATCGTCATAATAAATTGAATGAAAATAATTGATAGTTTCAGCCCTCTGTATCTCTGCTTTTGAATGTGTAATCGTTGAGGAGATCAATGAGCAGAGATAACTCGTAGCCCAGCTGCGGTAAATGCTTTTCCCAATCAATATTCTTTGAATCCAGACCTCCTTAAAGTTTTAATAAATTGTCTTTTTAAAAAAACTCCATAGCCTGTGGGGTGTTTGGAGCTTTAGTAATGAAAACTGAGATGTGTTTGGATCCAAAACAAAGTGTGACTAACAGTGAGATGGTTCAAAAGGGGGTCAGTGTCGTGTTCAGGGGCAGATGAGTATTTACTGACACACACACACACACACACACACACACACACACACACACACACACACACACACACACACACACACACACACACACACACACACACACACACACACACACACACACACACACACACAGGGATGTGGATAGTTCCTCTGGCTGTAACTAATCTCCTCCTTACACAGAGATTTTAAATGAGTGATGGGAAAATACAGTATGAGAACAGATAATACACCACAGGAGAACGCTTGCTCCAGTGATTACCATCCAGTTTTATTTCCTTTAATATAACGTAGTCACATTTACCATTATCTAAACATATGTATAAGTATATTCCCCAACAACATCAGGCTCTCAAGCTTCCCGAAAGCCTGAAGAGACATATAGAGGTTTTAAAAAGACGTTTCTTTAGATCTCAACTCAGACATCCTGGAAGGGGTCATTTCATTGTTCTAATGGACAGCTTTGGACGGGGTTTGCTTTCTGTAAAACAGTGAAGGTGGTACAGTAATATCAGACAGCTGTATCTACAAGTTGAATTCCCTAATGCTCTATACTTGTTGTCGCAGCCGAACATGCATTTAGAACAAAGAGGCTGTTACAATTGAACAGTTATATTAAATTGCATTTAACATTATTTGTAATTTAGAAAATGATATTATTTCAAATATCCAACACTCATATTAAACCCATGAGTGATACAAAAAAGGGTTAATGGTGATAGTCATATGGATTATCCCGATATCATTATCAGCTCAATGTATTATTTGTTCTACAATTGTTAGTGTTCATTTAGATCGCAGTCATTTTTACAACGAAATGTTTCTGTTTACTTCATTTTCATTTTCCTTTGTTTACTTCAGTAAAACAGTGACATCACTATGTAACACTCTCGCTTCTTTTGGCTTGCACTCCAACTAATTGTACGTGATAGGCTAAGAGGCGGGGCATCTCTAAGCGGTTGACCAATCACAATAGAGCCGGCCAGCTAACCAATCAGAGCAGACTGGGCTCTGGTTTCAGACAGAGGGTGAAAAGTGGTGCTGCAGCACAGGCAGTGTGAGAACAATAAAGAGCTTTTTGAACATTAAAGCATGGAGACATGTCCCAGTAGAGACACAGAATACTAATATGAACCTGAACATGAATATAATATGGCCCCTTCAAGGGAAAATGGTTAACCCGAGGACAGATGGATTATGCCGTTTGCGTTCCTATTACTTCATAACTATTTTCGTCCCATTCCTCACCGGTAGCCTCCACCATTCCCTCCAGGATGACCACGATCTCAAAGTCCTCCTTCTGCAGCTGGGACTGAGACATGTCCCAGAACGGGGAATTTGAGTCGATCTCATGGGAGATGACCAGCGGAGAGACCAGGAAGAGACGATCATCGCCCGTCTCAAAGCCCACGCTGATGTCCGTCTGGTCCAGAGGGATGAACTCACCTGGAGGAGACGAGAAAAAACCGGAGGAGATGAGAAGGAAAGGAAGGGATTCTCTCTTTATCAATAAGTTAAGATCAGCATAACCACAGGCAGCTCTCTAAATCTGGATCATCAAAAAGCCGGTTAATATCAAATCTGCTTAGGTGAAAGGGGAATAATTATGATTTTGAAATGCACTCAAAAGGAAGTGCACATATCTTTTTAAGAGTTCTATAATTAGATAGTAGTTTCACACGTTGCATTGTCAGAAGTAGCATTAGCTTTTGTAGTAGTCATAGTAATCTATATCATTTTGCACTCAAAGCTTTTATTACGGTTTTTAAATGAAGCTTTGATGGCCTTTCATCTACTTTCATGACATTATCATCCTTATAAAAAAGTAATTTTTGGAATATAAATGTAATTGATGTCGCTGTTGATACAGGTATTCAACTCGGTTGACTCGTTTTTTTTTACCACAGTGAAAATGTTGTTTCTGAGAAGCCTGTAAATATGGAATAAAGCAGATCAATTCTTGAGGTAAAAATGTAAAATATAGTGTCACATGTTTTAAGTTTGGGTGAGAAGTACACCTTTTTTCTTTTCAATACATTTAAACACTATGGAGTTAGTTTAGAAATGTGTATCACTCATAGCCAACACTAATTAAAGAAATATTGTAAAACATAGGACAATGATAATATAGGAGTATAACTGTATCTGCAACTTTACAGAAGAACCAAGTGAAAACATAGAATGAGAATTTCAACAATATATATATTTCCCAAAGATATTGAAGTGACTGTTATTTGTATATATTGATTGTTGTGCTTTTATTTATGTCTTAATGTGTGCATATGTATACATGTGTCTGTTGATTGTGTTTATATATGGATATACATATTTTTAAATATATTTGTATTTTTGTATTTGGGATGTGGGAAACGGTATTCCGATCTCTGTCTGTACACACAAACTGAAAGTTGACTTTGACTTGAATATAAATACAGCGTTTGTCATTACGGCCCTTATTAGCAGCGAGTAAATGTGACTTTATGATAGTTAATTCTCTTGCAGCCTCACCCTCCTGGGTCTGTTTGGACTTGATGAGTTTGGCCCTCATGTTGGCCCCTACGATGTGGGAGCTGCGCAGGTCGCCCACCCTGAACATCAGGCAGAGCTTGTCGTCTCTCAGAGAGATGACGGCGTGTTTGGAGAACACCAGAGTCTCCGCTCGCTTGTTGGGCTGCGAGATCTTCACAAACATACAGCCCACCTGCACAGAGAGGGGGAGGGGGAGGCAACACTCTCAAAAAACTGAGGATTATTGTACTGTAGAAACAAAGGCATCCCTTGTCTTTCCAAAAATAACAGACAAAATGAGTGCTGATTACAAACGCTCGTCCATATTTAAAAAAAGAGCTGACTATTTCCAGTTCTCAGCGTTAAAACAGTGACTCTTGAATTAACCTCAGAATCAATATTTGTTAATATGAATAGTAAAAGAGCTCAGTGCTAATATGGCATCTTTCCAGATTGCAAGCCTGCATAAACATGATTCTGTGTGTGGATTCATCCTCATCAAAAGACTGCTTACTACTTGGAAAACATGGAGCTCTGTCAGCACTTTCCAAATAAATATTCTTTATCAGGAGGCCCACCATCTGCACCCGATTGGTGTCATTTTGTCTGCATGGACTAACAGGAGGCCTCCCTCGAATCAAACAGACTCTGATCAAACCGTTTTGTAATTTGTTTTATCTTATTACCAGGCATTTCAGAAAGGTGGGTTTTTCCCAAATGACATGTTATCATTTGAACATTAAACTGAGAATCTAAAATGTGATTTGAACGGTTTTTAGTTTCCTTTAATCTGTGTTAAAGCAGGCTATGTGTTAGACAAACATCTGCACACATAAATATTAGATTAGTCCTCACTAGGGTCAGCAAAAAGCTCAGTGTCAGTAAGACGTGTTTTTAAAGATCATGCCCTGTCATTTTAGGCATAGGCGGATTTTGCGGGGGGGCAGGGGGGACATTGCCCCCCCTAGTGGCTGAAATATGTTACAGCATTACTACGTCTAAAACTGTTCCAATACAAATATTTCTTTGTATCAATATTTGAATAGATGTGATATAATGATTGTTACAATACAAATCTGAATAATATCATGTTTTGTTTGAAATAATTTCATTTTTGAGCAGTCGAATGTTGTGACGTGTGTGTGTGAAGTATGAGGTTAAAGGCAAGTTCCCTTGCTTTTTTTTTGCATACAAGTGATTCAGCTATTGTTTTACAATAATTAGCAGTAGGCCTAATGAGTATGCAGCGATTTTTAAAATGTCCAATTTCTGTGACGTTTAAGGCGTCTACTTCTGCACTAAGTAGGACACTGGTTAATAATATTGTAGCGTGTTCAAGTAACCAAGGGATATAGTAGTTATCAAATAAGTATAAGATGTGCACAGTTACGTTTTACAGTTATGTAATGCACTGTTGTTGGGGGGAGAGACCGCCCCTTCCATATGAGTGTGTGTGTACGGCGGGCATGAGGCGTGCATGACGGGACGAGTTGTGTTCGTATGTGGAAAAAGTCAGACTCAGTGCGGTGAACGCTGGCTTTATTGCTACTGTATCCGTAGCACCCCACGCAATAGTTGGGACTGTGTACTGACGTCAGTAAAAAAGTTTGCCCCCCCAAGCGCAAATGTCAAACTCCGCCTATGATTTTAGGTTTATAACAAAATATTAAACATTTGATTAAGAAGTGAAATTCTAGATATACGTAAAGTCTAATAGCCTCAAAATCTAATACCTGGGTAAAATGTACAAGGGAGATAACATCGTGTTTTCCTTAAATGAACACAATAATCATCTTTATCTTTAATATTTATCACAATGCATAAAACCTTCAACATAATCCCAATTGATGTAAACTATTATTTGATCTGTTTATGTGTTGCACTGTTGGAGGAGCCTGGGACCTAAGATGTTCCTTGTCATAGCTACACTGTAGCTTTGCACGTATGAGAATAAAAGCCTTGAAACTTGAAACCATCTGATCATATTCGCTACACATTGATAATCCTTTCTGTCCATGGTTCCCCTCTCTGGCTCACCATGAAGGCGTTGACCATGGAGCCCAGGATGGCCTGCAGCAGCAGCAGCATGGTGCCGACTGGACACTTGTCTGTGATGACACGGTGGCCGTATCCGATGGTGGTCTCCGTCTCGATGGAGAAGAGGAAGGCGGAGATGAAGCTGTTGACGTTGTGGACACACGGCGTCCACGTATCATCCTCCAGATGGTCCAGATCCCCCCTTTGAGAGGATAGAAAGGAGTGAGAGAAGGGAAGTGGGGAGGGTGACAAAGTGGGTGTCAAGAGGTAAAAAATAGAGAGCGAGAA